AAGACTGCGGAGAAGATCACTAGGACTCCACTGCCCTCTCTGCAGAGCATTTACCACCGCAGGGTGCGTAGGAAAGCTGCCTCCATCATCAAAGAGCCCACCCACCCCCAGCACAGACTGTTCACTTCTCTGCCCTCCTGCCGGAGATTCAGAAGTGTTAAATGCAAGACCACTAGACTGAAAAACTTTCTTTCCCTCTGCCATCAGACTCCTAAACAGCTGAGGAGTTTACCAGGAAATACGTGATGTACTGTTGACCTGTACTGTTTACATTCTCAGTTTGCACACGCATACTTGCACATTGACTGTTGACTGCTGCACATGCTGCTCCCATGCAGCATACATTCTCTATTATATTCTTTTATTATATTGCTGCATTTGTTGCTGCTTAAAGTGCATCAAATTTTGTTTTATCTACTTTATATTTCATTTGTGTTTTGTGGCATTCATGTGGACAGCAAAGTTAAGAATTTCATTTTACAGGGAAACACGTTTCCTACTTCTGCATATGACAAAATAAACACTTTGAACTTTGAACTTGAAACCAGGTTGGTGGCGGTGAAGGAGGAGTAGGGACAGCGGATGAGACTAACATGGTGCATACAGATGGGTAGTAATACACACATACACACTGCACACCGCAATGAAGAACAGCTTGCTGATACTAACCCGCACATGCTTATACAACACAACATTTACGGTATTAGAGTGCAAATTTGAGCCTCAGGGTACCTATGTCAAATATGAATCTGGAGCATATGAACAACTTCGTCAGTTCATATTCTTTATTCAGGGACAGCTAGTTACATTCCTCGTTGATTCAGGAGCTACTTCCTCTCTGAGGGAAGATCACTTAAACATTGTTTTCTGCTCTGTTCACACTGTCCTGTCAGTCTCTTAGGTAGAGATCTTATGTGTAAACTTAGAATCTAACTTTGTTCAACCTCTGATGGTATCACTGTCCACCATGAGAGGTGGAAATTGCAGAATGGTTCACTGACTTTTTCACTTGTTGCTGAAGCTAAACAACTGGTTGTTGATGAACACACTGATTTTATGCAACCTAGAGACTTGCATTGCACTTCTCACATTTATCACTGACTAGCACTATGAACAGACATGGCTTAGAGTAAAAAAAAAAAACTGTGCACATCTGCTATGTACTGGAGTGATTATCTTTACTTTCTCACTCTCAGTCTCACAGCTTCACAGTTACAGCTGTATGACATTTCTCTGGCCAAGGATAATAATGATGAATGGAAAGATATGGGTCCCTTTGTGGAAAGATGCATGCAAACAAATAATTGGCAGATAACTCAAGATCTATCTGTTTTGGGATTTTTTTACACTACACTGTTTTCAAAGAAGCTTCTCTTTAGTAGTACTCTCAATAAGATCTGTTCAGTTGGTACCTGGAAATACAATGCGAGCTCAGCACTTTTAGGTTTTATATAAATTTTGTGTAGGCATTATTGGTTTGGGATATGTATGTGAAGCACTTTGTGCCCTTTTATGAGCTGTAAAGTGCTATACAATCCATCCATCCATTTACTTCCGCTTATCCGGGACCGGGTCACGGGGGTAGCAGTCTAAGCAAAGATGCCCAGAATTCCCTCTCTCCAGACACTTCCTCCAGCTCCTCCGGGTGAATGCTGAGGCGTTCCGAGGGCAGGC